GTGTGTGTGTGTGTGTGAGAGAGAGAGAGAGAGAGAGAGAGAGAGAGAGAGATCGCCTATGTGGATCATATGGGTTGACTGAGATTGTGACTGGAGGAATCTAAAGCTAAAGCCCATTTTCTCTTCAAATCGTGATTAATAAGTGAAAAGTCTCAGGTTTGGGGTTCAAGAATTGTCTTTGGGGTAAGAAATCTATTAAAAGAGATTCTAACCCCTTGGAAAAATAGCATGGTGGGGACTCTGAGGAGTTCAGGCCCAAGTGGCAGGGGGTTTAGGGTGTGGGGGAGGGGTGTCTTCTTACAGATGTTAGAGGAAATGTGGAGGTCCCCTGTCCTGTGGTTGATGAAGTAGTCCATAATACATGCTTGTAACTCAACTGTCTCTGATTCCAGGGGCTGCAGGGGGTTGGGAGGAGGGGCTTGCCTTTCAAGGAAGGAAAGTGAGACCTGGAGGATGAGAGGAGGGAGAATAGGAGAGGCTTGTTTGGTTAGTGTCTGTCCCTCATACTGGATATGTCACTGGTAGCCCTGGTGTCTTATAACCTGTTATTCTGGAGCCTGTACACAAAATCAGCTAAGAGGCAGGAGAGAGGCACAGCTGCAGATAGCCATGACATGAGCAGAGGCTGGTCTGGTTTCTAACAAGAATTTGTCTTCCTGGAACATCTATTCTGTGTGTCTGTGGTGAGGGGTGGGGGTGGGGTTACATACTGATAATAATCTGTAGCATTTTCACATAAGCATTTGGCATTTAGATACTTGTTCCAGAATAAAATTCAAAATCAGCATGACTTTTTGTGTGTGTATGGTCTTTTTGAGACAGTGTCCCCCTGTAGCCCTAGCTGGCCTGGAACTCACTATGTAGACCAGGCTGGCCTCAAACTCACAGAGATCTGCCTGCCTCTGCCTCCGGAGTGCTGGGACTAAGGGCGTGCATCACCACGCTGGCCTGACTTTTTAAATTGGGTGTATTTTGTGGTAGAAAGAGTTGTTTGCTTTGAATCCAAGCATTTTCTCTTTGTTCTTTCGGAGACCTTGCTGGTTTAAACATTCAGAGTCATGATTGTTTAATTCAGCCAGCAGCATCAGTCTGCATGACAAGTTCAGAGGAAGTTGTACAGGAAGGTAATTCTGGAGAGCCAGAGCAGCACAGACTTGTTTTGTATGGATAACTTTTTTGTATATAACAAAATTTCAAAATTGTGGAGAGATAGTTAAGAGCACTGGCTGCTCTTACAGAGGACCTGGGTTTGATTCCCAGCACCCACATGTGTAGAGACTCAGGTCTGCTGGTGGATGACAGAATTGTTGAAGGCAAAGGACCAAACTCTCAGGTGGAGAAAGGCAAGGAAAGGCAAGTTTAATTCTAAGAGTGGCTCTTTATACCTAATGAGCAGGGTCAGCCAAGGATAAAGTATACAAAACATAAATCAAGCAAAGTTAAAAGTAAAGGATGTTTTTCTTTTCTGATACTAACCAAACTCTTTCCCAGAGCTCTAGTCTGTGAGAAAGGAAAACACAAGCCCATCCACTACCATTCTTACTGTCCCAAGGCAGTGTTCTGCCCTTAACTGGGAAGCAGTGTTCTATTAATGTCCAAACATTCTCTTATTTTCAAGAGACAGTTGGACTCTATCTTTTCTTTGATTCACTTTCCACAGAACTGAGCTCCATCGTACATGGCAGTGAACATCCAGTCTTTAACTCCAGTTTCAGGAGAACTGATGCTCTCCTCTGGCCTCCACAGGCATTTCACACATGGGTGCACTTATACACATGCAGGGAAAACACTCATATACATAAAAATAAGTAAATACATTTTTTAAAAAATTCAAGGCAGCTGGGCGTCGTTCACAGGATTCACAGCTGGGTAAGGTTGGTGATTATTTTTCCCATCTGGTAGCTTCCATAGCACCTTCCAGCACTGTGAAGGCTAGCCAGTAGAGATGAGGCCCTGAAGTCAGCCCCGGCTTGATTTCTCCTTTGTTCTGAAGCTCATGTATGTTTTGTCTTTGGCAGCAGGGTCTTGCCATCCAGTTCAGGTTGTGGTAGGCCTCACTTGTAGTTGTGGCTGTTAGCCATCATTATCCCTCTATCAGCACCATGTTGTTGAAGCATGTCTCATAGGTCCACATTCCCTTCTTCCTTTTCATAGCCCACATATAGATTCAATCTTTTATTGATCCACAGTCTTTCAAAACTCTTACTTCCTCATGCTGTTTATTTTTATTAAATTTCAGTTTCTATCTATTCGTAAAACATCCACAGTTATATCAGCACTTCCAACTGCCATGTAAGCAAGGCTTTCATAAATCATTCCAATATATTTGGGTCTTTTATACTTTATTATTTTCATTTTATGTGTATGAGTGTATTGCCTGCATGTGTGTAAGTGCACCCATGTCATGCAATGCCCATGGATGTCAGAGGAAGGTGTCAGATCCCCTGGAACTGGAATTACAGACATTTTTTAGCTGTGGGTGATGGGAATCAAACCCGGGTCCTCTGCAAGAGCAGTCAGTGCTCTTAACCACTGAGCCATCTCTCCAGCCCCTGCAAAGCAAATACTTTTGTTACAAAGTATTTATTGAAGCCTCTGTGAATCTAAATTTATACTTAGTCCTTGGGATCTAGATAATTATGCTGTGGGAACTGCCATCAAAGAATTCACAGGGAAATTAAAAAAGCAATTACAAAGCATCGCGAAGTAAAAGTTGCTATAAATAGAAATGGAGATAACAGAGATCCAAACCAAAACTTTGTGACACTTTTCCTATAGGAGACAGTGCTTCAGCTGAGTCTGAAGGGCTCACCTGAGGAGACAGGGCAAAGGAAGGATTTCCAAGTGGAGGAAACACACTCCAGTCAAGCAAAAATATCTCTGGCATTCAGTGACGATAGAATGGGAGATGACACTAGTCACACATGAGATTGTGTAAACCAGGGAAATCCCTAAAAATAGCCTAGGGAGGTGAGTTTTGTATCAGAATAATGAAAAGCCATTCCTTTTTTTTTTTTTTTCGTCTTTTTAAGGCATGGTCTCTGTATCCCCAGCTGGCCTGGAACTCACTATGTAGACCAGGCTGGCCTTGAACTCAGAGCATTCTGTCATTCTGTGGTGACCATGGGATATCTAACTCAGGGTTGGTATAGTTGTAGGGAGCATTTAGGGCAAATCAGAGTGGCTTTATTTCGTATTCTGATCTATGCCCTGGTTTTGGTATAATTGAATTTAAACCATCTTGCCTTCGTTGAGTAACTCTGGTTTTGGAAAGGGCTAGAATTTTCTCAGACTCCTTCTGTCCTTCCTCCAAGGAAGAAAACAGTCCTCTTATTTGGCCTGAAGGCTTCAAGGAAAACCTAACCTCTCATAATTATTTCCTTCTAGCCCTGCTTTCTCAGGACTCTACTTCTTTAATAGAGAGATCCAGAAGAGGACTGGTCAGCTCTTGGAGTTTTAAATCATGGTCCAAGTGAGTTGGAATTGTCTCTCCAAATATAGCCGTTTCTATCATATCATATATTTATTATCACTTGTCCTTCACCTGTTTGCCTGAGTCTCTTCAGGATGGTATGTGATGGTTGTGAAACGGCCTAGTGCTTTCCCTAAATGTCCCTCATTTTTCCATTTGATAGTCTGATCTTCTGACAGAGCATCAAAGGAGGAAAAATGTGCTTCTGTAAAGGGGATTCTAGAGTTTCATTTCCAAACCATAGCTTAACAAGGTGGAATTGTGCATTAAAGGGGCTACAGTATAAGAAAGTTTCATTTATTCCGTGGCAGTTTTGATTAGTCTGAATGGGATGTGGCATTGATGACAATTTCAGTGTGGCACTTTGTGATGCTTTTAGCTAGAGGTTATGATAGGATACTAAGTTCACAGAGATTAGGATGTTGCCAGGGAATCAGTGAGATGTGACTAGATCTCTAGGAATTTTTACAATTTAAAAGGAGAGAAAATCCACCTAAAATTAGCTTACTCAAAAAGCAAAAAGTGAGCAGCCCACAAAGCCTCCAACTTTTCTAAGGTAATAAACCTGGAGTTAGTGATTCCCAGTTGCTACAGCCTTTACATACTGTCAAAAAGATTCCTTAAGGTGTCTTTTACTCTGAACTACCATCCAAGTATCTTTTGTTTGTTACGAGAAGGTAACCAGGAAGTTGTGACTGAGCAGTAGTTTTGAAGCACTCCACTTCACCAAGTCACTTTTATTTCCATGTCTTCCTTCCATGTCTGAGGCTACCAACTCTAGTTTTTGCTCATTGTTTTCCATAATTTCCCCTTCCATCTAAACAGTTTCCTTAAATTTTACCAATAATGTTTTTGTGTGTCACTTTAGGAGTTGATTACATTCAGGGATGTGGCTATAGATTTCTCTCAGGAAGAATGGGAGTGCCTGAACCTGGAACAGAGGAGTTTATGCACAGATGTGATGTTGGAGAACTACAGCCACCTCATGTCAGTGGGTAAGATTCAAAATTGGACTCGAAATTTCTGCATCACTGTTGGGGTCTCTTTCAAAGGTGTGGAGGAATTTCTCTGAAAGTGCTTTATGTTTTACCACATCAGCAGTAGTCATCAGCCCATGGGGGTCCTCCATCTTTCTGGCCCTTCAGAAGTACTTGACTGTTATTGTCTATCTTCCTTAATAACCAAGGAACCAGACAGTAATTTTGGAATCCTTACCTATGTGGTCATTTCCTCCTCTTTCTTCTTCTCCCTCTTCTTTTTTTATCTCTGGACAGGACTTTGCATTTACCAACCACATGCGTTCTCCTTATTGGAAAAAAGACAAGACCCCTCGATAGTTTTAAGAGACGAGACAAGAGGGCTTTTCCCAGGTGAGTGAGGGCTAAGCTAGCATAGGATGGTCACCAATAAAGATGATAGCCCAGCTTCTTACTGAGGAAAAAAATGCCTCTGAAATATCTTTTAATTAGCCAAAGTCCTTGGACAAAGGTGTGAGTTATAGAACAAAAGCTGTCCAAAGGAATTTTCTTTTCACCTAGATACTGCCGGTGCTAGCCAGCCTTAGATGAACAGCACCTGCAAGGGGGAATGAGGACTGAAAGAAAAAACAAGAGACAGAGAAAGATGCTTGGGAGGACTGTCAGTAGAGACTGCAGCAGCCCCGGTTTATTTTATCTCCGCCTTTTTATACAGTAGAACGTCAGTGATAGCCACCATTTGCTTAGCTCAATTAGTTTCAACAGCTGTTTTTCCCACCTGTATCTGAGGGTCAAGGAGCGGTCAAATACTTGTTGTGAACTCCACCATTTAACCATCTTCCCTAAATTATAAACACATTCCTCCTGACTTGGCAGAAAAATTAGGTACTGGTGTGCAAAACACAAGCTAAGTAAACAAGCAAGCCTGCCACACTCAATGTACAAAATGGCTGTGCTTATGTTAATAGCTCCCAACAAGATACCACTCTGTTTCTGTGCTCTTGTTTGTCTTTCATGTTAGAGAGGTAAATGCTGTTCTTTGTACCATTGGCCAGTACTTTGTGAATGGTTTGGACATATCTTCTAGCTCCTTGTAATTTTCATTTAGATATTTGCAAATTTCTTCATTCTCTTAGACTCTTTTTCCTATTTTACCTACTCCCTCATGAATTTTTTAATCTGTTTTCTCCTTGCTTACATTTCCTGAGTTTATTAATTCATTATTTTAACCATCAGTTACTAATTTTTTTTAGTTTCATTTTACATTAAAAGGGCTAAGAGTACATAATGTATTGTGAAATGTTTTTATTCTCCTCTGTGACTTGAACATAGGCATAAATTTCTGCATAATGGGCTCTACATTAAAAGTAGGTCTAATAAACTGCATAGCTATAAGTCTGAATAGTAAGTAGATCTGGTTTCTAACCACAGTGAGGAGATGCAGAAAAAGTTGGAGATGAAGAACAAGAAGAAGAATGCAGTGTGTTAAAAGATAAGCGCCTGGGTGTGATGATGCATGCAGAGGCAGGTGGATCTCTGTGAGTTCAAGGCCAGGCCAGCCTTGTCTACATAGTGAGTCCTGGCTAGCTGGGGCTACAGGAAGACCCTATCTCAAAGAAAAAAAAAAAGACAAGCCATGCTCTGTGTAGTTCTCCATATTTCCCATTTTCTTTAATGTTGATAATTATTAACTCATCTACTCTGTGCCAGGTACTCTGCAGATACAGCATATTCCCAAACTTGTCTACACACTTCTCATGAGAGGTATTTTATCCATGTTTGTTATACTGAAAAATAAAATCAATAATTTTCCTATCACCAAAAGAAAAGTTTATAAAACAAAATCAGAATCTGTCATCATTACATCACAGTTCATTACTGTTCTTATTTTGTGACTGAATTGCCTTTCAACTCACTCATTCCTGACAAAGTCCTTGCTGAGTTCCCAAGAAACTCTGTTTCTAATAAAAATTGATACATCCATATGACAGTTTCACAAACTTCTAAATTCATTGGAAAACAAGACTCAGAAGAGCTATACTGTTTCTAGCTTATACCAGACTCATTCTCCTTTGACAGCTTTCTATTTTCCTATCTGACCTATCATTCATAATTGTTTCCCCTAATAATCATTTTTTAAATATAAAACAACATGCCTGTCTTACTGAGTTCATAGGACTTTAACTCTGAACTACTTTGCTTTCCATATGAGGAGATGATGCTCTCCTATTTCCCAACATTATTGTTTTGGTTTTGGTTTTTTGTTTGACACGGGGTCTCCCTATAGCCCCACCTGGCCTAGAGCTCACTATGTAGACCAGACTGACCTCAATCTCACTGAGATCCACCTGCCTCTACCTCCTGAATGCTGGGATTAATGCTGGGATTAAAGATATGCATGACCATACCCAGCCTCATTACTGATTTTTAAAAATTATTATTATTATTATTATTATTTTTATTATTGGTCTTTTTGAGACAGGATCTCTCTATAGCCCCAGCTGTCCTGGAACTCATTATGTAGGCCCAGGCTGACCTTGAACTCACAGAGGTACACCTGCCTCTGCATCCCAAGTGCTGGGATTAAAGGCGTGCACCACCATGCCCGGCTATTTTTTTTTTTTTAATATTTTGTTATTTTTATTTTATGTATATTCATGTATTTCCTGCATGTAGGTAAGTGCACCTGTGTCATGCAATGCCCACAGAGGACAGAAGAGGCTGTTGGATCCCCTGGAACTGAGTTATGGACAGTTGTTAGCTGCCATGTGGGTGCTGGGATTTGAACTCGGGTCTTCTGCAAGAACAGCCAGTGTTCTTAACTGCTGAGCCATCTCTCCGGCCCCTTTATTATTTTTTAAGTATTTTATTTATTTTTATTTTATGTGTATTCGTGTATTACCTGCACGTATGTAAGTGCACCTCTGTCATGTAATGTCCTTGGAGGTCAGAAGAGGGCATCAGATGCCCTGAAACTGGAGTTACAGTTGTTAGCTACCATGTGGATGCTGGGAAGCAAATCTAGTTCTTCTGTAGGAATAGCCAGTGCTCTTAACCACTGTACCACCTCTCCAGCTCCTAAAACATTATTTTACTTGGGGGGAGGAGACATGTAACATAGGTCATGTCTAGTGGGTTCTTTCCTATCCTATCACTTTATTGATGAAAGGTCTCTCTTGTTGTTTCTACCATGCTGTGTACTCTAGGCTAGCTTGTCTACATGATTCTGGGTGATTCACTGGTCTTGCCCTCCCTTCTCACCATGGGTGCTATGACTACAGACAGGTGTGTGCCGTGCCATTTGCTTTTTTACATAGGTTCCAGAGTTGAACTGAGGTTGTCAGGTTTACACATTTACCTTTATCCACTGAGGCATTCCACCAGCCCCTTTACCATTTTTCAGTTTAGAATTTTATAAGCTTCTCATTATCTGTGCCTTATACAGTTTGAAATGTTTAACTTTTATGAAATAGTTTTTCATAATTTTTATTTTGTCTTTTTGAGACAAGGTCTCCTTGTAGCCCCAGCTGTCCTGGAACTCACTATGTAGACCAGGCTGGCCTCAAACTCACAAAAATCCACCTGCCTCTGCCTCCTGAGTGCTGGGATTAAAAGCATACACCACCATGCCTGGCTCAAAATTAATTTTATAATTACTAATGTGCTGACTTGATTAAATCACACTGAGTAAAAAAATATCAAGTCTGCATTTTCTGTTATTGAGTGGTTAGCTGGGCAATCATTTTTTATTGGACTTCTCACATGAATATGATTGTAACAAAGCTCTGTGCTTTTCCTCCCCTGACTTGGCTTTTATTAGCTCTTTTAAATTAATATTTATTGTTTCATGTCCGGAATTTGGCTATTTAAAGACATTCATTTCTTTCATGTTTTACTATAAGATTTACTTTATTTATATTAGATGCTTCATCTCTTTTTGGGTAAACAGCTGTGTACTTTATCTTTCAGACATAGATTCCAGGTGGCAGATCAAGATGTTATTGGAAAGAACTAGTGCCTTTGAAGGAGAATTATCCCAGTGGGAATTGACAGAATTTTTTAGAAAACACAGCCTTGAAGACTTATGTTTTAGAGATGATTGGAAAGGCAAAAGTCAGTTTCAACAACAGCATGAAAATCAGGACTATTTTAAGCTTGCCTATGAAAAGCTACCTACTTTGAACCAGCATACCATTTTAAATCAACACCAAAGACTCAATACAGGCGAGAAAGTCAATGAATTTAAATGTGAAAAAGCCATTAGTTTGGGATTAGATCATATTCAACTTCAGTTAATTCACCCTGGTACCAGATTCTGTGAAGATAAAGAATGTCAGAAAACCTTTCTTCCAGATTCAGAACTTACTCATCAGAAAGTTCACACTGATAAGAAAACTTGTGAATGGAAAGTATGTAGAAAGTCACTTGATTTACAATCAAGAATAACTGTTCTTAAGAGATTTCATACTAGGGAGAAACCTTTTAAATGTAAGGAATGTGGGAAGACCTTTAGTTATGGCTCAGACTTTACTCGACATCACAGAATTCATACTGGTAAGAGGTCATATGCATGTAACAAATGTGGAAAAACCTTTACTCAGCAATCATATCTTATTTCACATCAGAAAATTCACACTGGTGAAAAACCTTATGTATGTGAAAACTGTGAGAAAGTGTTTACTCGTGGATCACACCTAACTCAGCATCAGAATATTCATTATCATATAGTTAATGCTGGTAAGAAAAGATATGAATGTAAAGAATGTGGCAAGAGTTTTAGTTGGCATTCAACTCTTACTGGTCATAAGAGAATTCATACTGGAGAGAAACCTTTTAAATGTAAGGAATGTGGGAAGTCCTTTAGATTTCATTCACAATTTAGTGTGCATAAGCGAATTCATACAGGTGAGAAATCTTATGAATGTAAAGAATGTGGCAAGAGTTTTAGTTGGCATTCAACTCTTACTGGTCATAAGAGAATTCATACTGGAGAGAAACCTTTTAAATGTAAGGAATGTGGGAAGCCCTTTAGATTTCATTCACAACTTAGTGTGCATAAGCAAGTTCATATAGGTGAGAAATCTTATGAATGTAAAGATTGTGGAAAATTCTTTACTTGGAGCTCAGACCTTACTCGACATCGGAGAATTCATACTGGTCAAAAGCCTTATGAGTGCAATGAATGTGGAAAGGCCTTTAGTCAACGATCACATCTTATCCAACATCAGAGAATTCATACTGGCCAAAAGCCTTATGAGTGTAATGAATGTGGAAAGGCCTTTAGTCAACAATCACATCTTATTAAACACCAGAGAATTCACATTAATGAAAAATCATGTGCATGTAAAGACTGTGGGAAAGCTTTTACTCATGGCTCACACCTAACTCAGCATCAGAAAACTCATACTAATGAAAAACCACATGATCATAAAACCTTTAATTATATCTCAGACCATACTCAGCATCAGTTAACTCATATTGGTAAGAAATTCTGTGAAGATAAAGAATGTGGGAAAACCTTTCTTCTTGCTTCAGACTTTGTTCAATATCAGACAGTTCACACTGATAAGAAAACACATGAATATAAAGAGTGTGATAAGACTTTTAATTTAGGTTCAACTCTTACTGGTCATAAGACAGGTGATAGTGGGAAGAAACCTTTTGAATGTAAGGAATGTGAGAAGCCCTTTAGATTTCATTCACAACTTAGTGTGCATAAGCGAATTCATACAGGTGAGAAATCTTATGAATGTAAAGATTGTGGAAAGTTCTTTACTTGGGGCTCAGGCCTTACTTGACATCAGAGAATTCATACTGGTCAAAAGCCTTATGAGTGTAATGAATGTGGAAAGGCCTTTAGTCAACAATCACATTTTATTAAACATCAGAGAATTCACGCTGGTGAAAAGTTATAAATGTACATAGTTTGGGAAAGCTTTTACTGAACATCAGAAAATTCATACTGTTCAAAAGCCATATTTATGTAAGAACTGTGGGGAAACCTTTATTAATGGCCCATAGCTTACCCAACATCAGATATGTTCATGTCAGTAAGAAAACCTTATAAGGTGAAGAAATGTGGAAAACCTACATCTGGAGCTCACATCTTGCACAACATCAGCAAATTCATACTGGTAGAAAACAATATGAGTGTAAGCAACAAAGGAAGACGTATTTGGGCTTCATATCTTGATCAACCCAAGAAAACTGATAAGAGAAAACAGAGTATATGGAATGTGGAAAGATCTTTCTTTGTGGCTCAAAATTTGAATCAGCATGAGGAAATTAATTTTGGTGAGAGAAATTGTAAATGCAAGGAATGTGGAAAGACATTTGTGGTTCTGAAGTTAACATCAGAAAACGAATAGTAGAAAGAGACCTCGTTGAACGTGAAGAATGTGGAAAAGCCATTCTCGGGAGTTCACAACTTATTACACATTAGCAAATGCATACTCGTGAGGAACATTATATTTTTTAAATGTGGGAAATTCTTTATCTGGAGGTCACAGGTTCTGTAACATCGGGATAGCCACACTGATGGAAAACACTACACCTTTCATTAGTCACCATATTTTGATTAGCAGAAAATTTACAATGGTGAAATCTCTGTGAAAGGACAGACTATGGAAATACATTTGGTCATGACTAAAACTTTGACCAGCATCAGAATATTTACACTTTTGGGAAATCCTATTATAACTTTCTTCAAGTTTTCTATTGACATATTTTGAAATTGTATACTATGAAAAGAAATGAAAGGGTTTATCCCTGGTTTATTAATTGAAGTCAGTTCATTTCTGTTTTTGAGATATCCCAGAAGTGTTTTGTTGTTGTTGTTTTGTCTTTTTGTGACCCCAGCTGGCCTGCAACTCGATATGTAGACCAGGCTGGCCTTGAACTTACAGAGATCTACCTGTCTCTGCCTGCCTCTGCCTCCCAAGTGCTGGGATTAAAGGCATGTGGCCACCACACCCAGCGAGATCCCAGAAGTATAGAAAAAGTCTTTTTAATAGGACACAATGTGCCCATCAGAATTTGTAAGGTAATTTATATTAAGAAAGACTTTACTAATTGGTCATCTGTTATGGACTATGAAGATGCTTTATTATAAGATGAGATATGGTGTATATTGAAAGGGTATTTTTAAGGTAATAAATGTGTGAAGAATATTAGACAGGATTTTATATGCTAATGAATTAGTTTTTAGGTAAACATTAATACAGTGATTTTTTTTTTCAGAAAAAAAATTTTTTTGGTCTTTTTGAGACAGGTTCTCCCTGTAGCCCCAGCTGTCCTGGAACTCTCTATGTAGACCAGGCTGGCCTTTAACTCACAGAGATCTGCCTGCCTCTGCCTCCTGAGTGCTGGGATTAAAGGCATGTACCACCACACCCAGCCTCATGGAAGACATTTTGGTTTTTTGGTCTTTTTTTGAAGCAGGGTCTCCCTGTGGCCCCAGCTGTCCTGGAACTCACTATGTAGACCAGGCTGGCCTTGAACTCACAGAGATCTGCCTGCCTCTACCTCCCAAGTGCTGGGACTACAGGTGTGTGCCACCACGCCTGGCTTGGAAAACATTTGGGGGGGGGTCTTTTTGAGACAGGATCTCCCTGTAGCCCCAGGTGTCCTGGAACTCTCTATGTAGACCAGGCTGGCCTTGAACTCACAGAGATCCGCCTGCCTCTGCCTCCCGAGTGCTGGGATTAAAGGCGTGTGTCACCACGGAAATGTGCGGAAAACTTTTTAAATTGAGAAATGTCAAAGCAAACCAGGCTATATCGTAAAGGAATAGAATATTTTATGGGAAATTTGTCAACTTGTGCTAACATAAGTCTGATAATAAAATCAGATGAGGGTAGAATTGAACAATAAATTCCTGAAAATTTTTAAGCAAAATTTTTACTGCATTTTTATTTGTGTTTGTGTATGTGTGTATAATTATGGGTAAGACATGTGGGTGCTGGGAACTGAATCTGGATACTTTACAAGAGCAGCCAGTGCTCTTAACCACTGAGTCATCTCTCCAGCCCCTTTTGATTTGATTTTGAGTTTGTATGCAATGCTAAGTTTAGAATACATGACTTGCACATGCTAAACAAGTGCTGTAGCACTGAGCTGTAGCTCCGGCCTTTAAAATAGTTAACTTTTCCCAAAAGGCAAAATGCAAAGTTTTACTAGAAACTGGTATTGGTGATTCCTTGATTGTCTCTAGTTACATTCCCACTCTTGTTCTGAAGCTACTGTCCAAATTGTCCTGAATTACTATAAAAAATCTAATATAAATATAATCAACAAAGATGGTGATTATGGCCTTTTCTTGTGATCACATTTCCCCTCTGCCTTGCATTGGTGTGAGCCAGAGTTCCTTCTGCAGGTTTTCTTCTAAGTGGAAACATTGCAGGCATCCTAAAGACAGCATCATTTATATTAACAGTAAGTAAACAGCAGCATGGCACCAACATCAATTACTGACAACCAACTAATAAGAATTTGGCTGGGCAGTGGTGCACGCCTTTAGTCCCAGCACTTGGGAGGCAGAGGCAGGCAGATCTTTGTGAGTTCGAGGCCAGCCTGGTCTACATAGTGAGTTCCAGGACAGCTGGAGCTACAAGGAGACTCTGTCTCAAAAAGACCAAAAAAAAAAAAAATGATATTTCCAAAGTAAACATTAGTTGTTTATGTTGTACTTTGGGATCACAAGAGGTTTTAGAAAGCAGAATTTTATGCTCATTTTTTTGCTCCATTTTCCTCTCTGTGACTTGGTACTGTCGGCTACCCCCTTATGAACCTCTGTATTATACTTAAAAGCATTTAACAAAATTATTGAAATACTTTGCTTTTTCCTATCCTATAAATACATAAAATTTCTGTTTGTCTTTGGAATTTTAAAATTGGGGCAGTTCTTAGGGTGGCATTGAATGGCTCATTACAGTATGTAAACCATCTATTAGAGCATCTTTTTTTTAACTTATGTGTGTGTGCAGGTGCCTGTGGAGGCCAGATGAAGACATAGGATATCCTGGAACTGGAGTTACAGGCAGTTGTGAGCAATGCAGTGTGAGTGCTGGGAACCAAACCCAGGCCTTCTGGAAAAGCAGCAAGCACTCTTAACCACTGATCCCTCTACTGAGTTTAATGTATGTAACGACCAAAGATCAATTCAAATGAAAATGGTTGCTACAATAGATTTATATACTTTTCAATAAATATGACATACTTTAGTAAAAATAAAGAAGGTAAGGGAATAAATATATAACCTGAACCACAAATCATAGAAGAAATTGCAGAGGTGCTGTAGTTCTTTTTACAAATCACAAGATTGCTATTGGCATTCAGTACGTCCCCAATTCTAATATAAATTGTGTTCACATGCCTTTCTGTGAAAGATTTTATTGTGAATATATAAACACTGACTAGAAGGGTAAATACCTGTATGCCCACCCTCTGGACTCTAAGAATTAATATTTTACTGAATTTTCAGCTGGCAATTCTGCCTGTTAGATTGGAGCCTTGAGCCATCCACACTGTTACTTTGGCATTGCAATAGGAGAATCCATGTTTAGTGGTGGACTTAGATATACTAGAAGCATCTGAGCAGATTCCGCTATGCTCCAAACATACAGCCTCCTTCCTCCTTTTGATACTCAGAGCGGCACTCTGTACATGTCAGTCTAACATATTTCCAAGACTTGTTTCTCGGCAGCATTAAGAACTCTGAATTGGCGGGGGGGGGGGGGGGGGGGGGGTTCCATACAGTATATGTGTGTTACTTAAAAAATAATTTAATTGAATTTTTGTGAATTTCATAGAAATATTTTGATGACCTTAACTCTAGTTCCAGGGGAATCCAAAGCCCTCTTCTGACCTCTGCGGCATTGCATGACATGGGTGCACTCACATACGTGCAGGCAATACACTCATGCACATCATATATATATAAACTCTGAATGGCAAAGTAGCAGGTTCAGTTACAAGATCACTGGAATTATTCTATCCCCTAGTTGAACATTTCTTTCCTTGGAATTAAGACTTTCAGGGCTACCAAGATAGTTCTGTGGTAAAGGCACCTTCTGCCAAGCCAGATAACTCATTTGATTCCCAGGACCCACATGGTGGAAGAAGAGAACTGATTCCAAGCTGTCTTCTGACTGCCGCATCCACACCTACCTTGTGGATACACACACACACACACATACACACACGTTTTTAAAAAGACTCCAAGGGTGATAAATTTGCCAGCAAGGTGCTTGCTGTGCCTGTATGAGGACCTGAGTTCAATCCCCAGAAGTCATGTAAAATAAGTTGAGTATGGTGTCTGTCATGTGCTTATGATGCTGGGGGGGGGTGGTCAAGGATAGGAATATTCGAGGGGCAGCCTAGCAGAAGCTGTTTATGAAGTAAAAATTAGAAATGTGGAAAACATTTTTGTGTTTATTTCAAAATCCTGGGTTCTTCCTTGAGGAAAGAAAGAAAATGAAAAGCATTTAAAATATATGTCAAAGGGCTGGAGAGATGGTTCAGCAGTTAAGAGCCCTGGCTGCTCTTGCAGAGGACCCAGGTTCGATTCCCAGCACCCACATGGCAGCTACCAACTGTCTGTAAGTCCAGTCCCAGGGGATCCAACTCCGTCTTCTGACCTCTGCGGGCATGTAAATACCGGTGCACTTACATAATGCAGGCAATACACTCATATGCATAACATAAAAATAAAAATTTTGAGAATATATACGTTTGCATTTCCCTAATTACTAACAATGTTGAACACTTTTAAAGATGTTTCTTAGCCATCTTTATTTCTTCTTTTGAGAAATCTGTTTAGATCTTTAGCCTATCCTTTAATTGGGTCATTTTTTTATTGTTTTTTGAGTACTTTATATATTCTGGATGTTAAACCTCTATCAGACGTGTCACTGGTGAAGATTATTCCCACTTTGGGTTTTCTCTTCACTTTCTTTTTTCTTTTACTGTATAGAAACTTTTTTAGTTTAATGAGGTCACACTTGTTGATTGTTGACCTTCATTCCTGAGCAACTGGTGTCCAATTTAGAAAGTCTTTTCCTACACTTATATCTTGTAGGGTTACTGCCAATGTTTTCTTCTAATAGTTTCAAGTTTCACATTGAGGTCTTTGATCCATTTGGAGTTGACTTTTGTGCAAGGTGAAAGATAAGGATCTAGTTTTATTTTCCTACAGGTGGAGATCCAGTTTTTCTAGCACCATCTGCTGAAGATGCTGTCTTTCCTCCATTGTGTAACACACAGCATGAAGCAGAGTTGGAGTTTATCAGGAAGAGATTTTAACATAGGTTCAAGCAAATAGAAACAGAGATGCTCGTGGGAAGGATAAGACATATCCAAGTGTGGCTGTGCTCTTCTAAGAGTCCTGTCGTCCTTATGATAGCCATTTATACAGTTTTGGTGGCTTCTTAAGCTACAGCTCAAAGGGAGTTTAAGGAACTTAAATAAGATCATAGGATGGTTCTTGAAATAAGACAACAGCTAATATGATAAAATCTTGGGTCACAAGAGTTGCATGGGAAGTTAGAATGCTTTATTTTATGTGTATGAGTGGTATTCCTGCATGCATACACCCATGTCATATAATGCCTGTGAATGTCACAAGAGTGCACCATATCCCTTGGAACTGGAGTTTGGATGGTGATTAGATGCCATGTGGGTGCTGAGAATCAAACCTGGGTCCTCTGAAAGAGCAGCCAATGCTTTAAACCACTGAGACATCTCTCCAACCCAGGATGCTTTTACTGCAAACAAAAATTTATAGTCTTATTTGTGAAGTTCCAATAAAAAGTTAAGGTTTACAGCTGGGAGAGGAGTCAGGCCATATACACTTGGGCCTCAGCTGAGCTATGTGTAAGAGGAATAGTATATTGTCTCAAACAGGCAACCTTTACAGCAAATGTTAATTGCACTGAAATTCAGAGACTTCAAGCAAACTCTGGAGGGGTTCACATTCTGTATCTCCTTAACTTCCCCTTTTTTCTTAGCCTGCCTCAGGGAGACATATTCTATGAGGAGTTAATTTTTTTTGAGACAAGATCTCCCTGTAGCCCCAGCTGGCCTGGAACTATGTAGACCAGGCTGACCTTGAACTCAACAGAGATCACCTGCCTCTACCTCCCAAATGCTGGGACTAAAGGCATGCGCCACCACGCCTGGTGAGGTGCTAATATTTTTCATCAATTTATATACAATATATTGATATTGATTGCCTGTGTGGCATTTACTTTAAGAGCTTGAAATGTACCATCCCATGCTTTCCTGGTTTTTAAGAGTTTCTTTTGCGAGGTCTAATATTATTCCAGTGAGTTTGCCTTTAG